CATTGTAGGTAACTTACAATGTCAAACGAATACCTTTACAAGTATTACACATTTGAAAGAAGAAATAGTAATTGAGTTATATATACGAGAATTTTTAGGCATTTAATAAAAAAAAACTTTAGATTTAATCATCTAGCAGTTAAATGCTTAAAAAATATATTGTTTTTATTATGCTTTTATAATTTAGTGTTATTAATAATATCTCATAGTAGTGTTTATTTTTTAAGAAATGTCAAATAAGCGTATGGTTTATATAACATCTCTCTGATAGTTACAAGTTACAATAATCCATAAAAAACTGAAATACACCCTGATCCCATTTCTGATCGTCTACCCCTTGGGAGTTTTTTGGTTTTTTGGATTCTTATCCACGTGGGCACTTATATCAGCGTACTTCTACTTCATAAAAGTAAAAACTATCTAAAAAATTCTACTAACATTATAAATATGATAGTTTGTATGAAATGCATGTTTGCTATTATTACATGTAAACGAGTGGCTTTTAAAGAAACTTGACAAAAATAAAGCTCATTCATCAGAATAACAAATAGACTGAAAATTAAAAAGGTATTGAGTACTTAATTGGTTAAAACAAATATTATAATAAGTGTCACATAAATCGGAAAATCTCCCATCTGCGAGTCATTCCGGCGCGCTCTACAAAAACCGTAAAAGTTATAACACGATTATTATGTATCGTGGAAATGTATCTCTTAAAAAGTTCTACTGATAAGGCCGCAACAGCATACATATATCTTTTATCGCTAACAAGCTATTATCGCTAAAGCTAATATTTTATATTTATTCCCAAAATGCACATTTGTATTAACAAATTGATTCTTATCAAAACAAATACTTTATTGCTACTGACATTTGAAGAACATAAACTTTGTCTTTTACACTTGTCATTTGGATAAATATTTTAAAAGTTACGATTACGGCTATGAAAATGTGAGTGCGTGGTGCTAAGAATCTGGAGTACATTGCGGAAGTGGTGGAAAAAGATTACGGTCATCAGCTCATCGGCGAATGTGCGTGTGCGTATGTTTGGATGTTAGTGAACCTGAACGGATTTGGAATAGATTTGACATACAGATACATAGGGTACTTTTTATTCTAGAAAAATAAATGGATTCCTGTGGTGTTATTTACAAACTAAAAGTTAACGCGGAAGATACCAACTCGCGGTCGGCCCCTCTAGTTAAATTATAAACACAATTCACACATTGATATAACAGTATAACTTCACACAGTGTCCTTCGTTAAGGGAAACCGCAATATTCTAAAAAAAGTTTGTTATCCAATTAACTGTTCATCGTCGTCGTACGAACACCGTTAGTTATAATGTGATGTGTGTTGTTAAGTAAATTAAATTGTTTTTCACGTAATACAGAGGGGACTATTAGGTAGGTCGGTATTAATATTCAAGTAGGTAGGTAGGTAGTGTTTATCGCGTTAATCTCATAAAACAGGTTAGTCGTGTGAAGGGTGTGTGTGTAGTCATCGTGCGAGGTCAGAGGTTTGGGGGTCAGGTCAGTCAGCCACGCCGCGCCGCCCCGGCCCAAAAGTATCCCTTGCAATTAGGGAGCGTAAGAATTACGGCGTCTCCATTCATTTGCATTATTCTGATGCGTAAAATTACGATTCGCGATTCTTTTACCGGTCATTTGACTTTAAGAGCTGGATTTTAATACAGTTTACTTTATTTAATATGGAATGAAAAAGTTATCAAAGTGTATATCTATGAATGTATATTCGTCACATCTACGGAAAACTTACGAATCTGCTTTTTTAGAAAAAATCTATAATAAAATACTGCACATAATGGGGTACTTAACACCAGGGAAAAGTCACACAATTTTATCAATGGCGGTTCCGAAAGTCTAGTTGTTTGAATCTGCATTTTATGTTTATACACCCAAAGTAAACTTACCAAATTAATATACGATATTTTGGCGTAGACGGTTTTATGAAATTCAAATTCGTAAGTTTACTATGGAAGTGACGTATTTTTGGAACGAAGTTCATTTTCGGACGGTACGGTGTAAGTTTTTTCCATCATTACTGTCAGTTGTTTCGTAGCGTATTGTGTGTAGTTGTGTACTTATTACATATGTTTATTTTAACTTCGCTCCAACCAAGTCTTCCACGATACTCGTGTTTGCTTTTTTTATCTGTAATCATTCGATTTGCTTTCCGCCTTCAAACTTCCTTATCGTATTCAAACGGAGCTATTTATTTTTGGTGACGTGAAAATAAATACGAACACAATCAAAGAACGATTGCCATTTTATAGTTTCGTCTCATTTTCAATCAAAATCGAGCATTAATGATTAATCGCCTTAGAATGTCAGATCATAAACTTATCCGAGTGTCGAATACCTATCACGATTTCATCTGTAATAAAATCACGTATTCATCGCCTACATTATCTTTTATGTCGGTGAAGATGACGACTGTGTTCTAATGGGAACCATTTTTATGTCAAAACGGTACAAAAGAAGGAAAACTAAGTATTTCTACTATCCTATAATTACACTAATTAGTAATCATTAGTTTTTTTAATGTCTGATATATGGAAAATACTGTGTTCACTGGCATTACAGGTAGCACTGAAGCCAAGAGCAGAATGGGGTAAAACAATTCGACTACCTAAGAGGTGGGTCACACGATGAGTTTGGCATCAGTTCAGTCCATCAGTCCAGACTGATAGCAAGACTGATGGACTGATAGACAGATTACATGGTCAGTCCAGACTAATGACAGTCTTCCCAAGAACTTAGTCGTATGTGGCGTATTACGCGAAAAGCCATGGATCAATATAAAAAACTACTACACACACACAACATAATAAATGCGTTTGCCGCGCCGACATTATGTTTGTTCTGTGACGTTTGGATTATGATTTTAATTTCTGAAGTCTAATTTTAGTTTGTTATGTTAATTATTTTAAAAGACTTTTAATGGCATCCGTTCAGTCCATCAGTCTGGTAAGACTGACGCCAGACTGATCGTGTAACCCGCCTCTTACACTATTATATGAACCTCTGACAACCTTACAAGCCAAAGTAACACAAGGTACACTACGTACGAAGAAACATTCGAAATATTAGTCTTAGAGTTTATTTCTCTTAAACAGAAAACATGGCTTTGACTTCTTAAAATATGGAGAAGGTAACGGTTCTTAATCTTAATCAAAACGATGTTTTTTATTTGTACTCAAAAAGGTAGTTAATTTTAATGTGGTTGAAAAGGAAAACGGCAAAAGCCAAGAGGGACGGTAGTAAGTGGCTGTGTCGTAATCGCTACTTATAGCGCTTCCCTCACACCTTTACCTTGTGGCGATCACACACAAGTACGAGGGAGATACTGCACTGCTTCCACCATACTGCCGTTCTATTTCACATTTGCTTTTGATTAACTAAATGATGCTTTATTTTATAACCTATTTGAATAAAAGCCTTTTGCAGCGCATGGGATCTAGCTCGGTCTTAATAGTTCTATTCTTTACAATCCTTAAATATATCATAATGAATGTCATCTCATCGGTGCTTTGGCGACTAATAGGGATGGTGACTGTTTTTTTTTACTTCGTCTATAAGGTAGATAATTAAACAGTATTGAACACATATTTTTTCTATATTCTTATAATCAAAACATTACATAACATTACATTACAGAAATATATTGATTTGAAATGCTGCATGATGTCACGCCTTGGTACAATTTTTTACTTAGAAGTGACGTCACGAGCCTCCACTCACTAACTTTAAAGCGCTTTATCTTTGTAAATTTTTGTTTCATTGACAAAGGAAAAAATAAGTGTCCATTATTTTTTGATATTCTAACTGACTGACTAAATGGATTTTTTTATTTTACCCCGTCATCATCCCTAATCTAGGGCTTCCACTCGATTATGATCCACTAATAAAACAAATAAAGTTGGTTTTGCAGCAATCAGTATTGTAACCGTGATTATTATGAGCGATTAGTCGATTACAGATTAATCTCTTTGTATACGCCCCTAACCAGGGGGCCAATCGCCTAACCGGATTGCTTTGGAAAACGCTATCGCTTACGATTTCATTTTGTTATTTCTAGCCGCCTGAGGTTTACAAATGCCTCGCGTTCTTTTTTTTCTTTTGCATTGTTAATAACATTATTAAAGAAAATGAGCAAGAGGTATTAGAAAACCTTCGGCGGTCAGATAACAAAATGAAATCGTAAGCGATAGCGTTTTCCAAAGTAATCCCGTTAGGCGAATGGCCCCCAGTTGTTATAAGCGAAATAACGAAAACATAAAAGGATAAAACTATAACGTTGGAACTTCCAAAGTTGAGTTGAGTTATATTACTAACTTTTCAGCGTAATGAATTGCGTGTGTTCCTTCTTGTTCGAAGGTCAAGTTATATTACCAACTTTTCAGCGTTATCGATTGCGCGGGTTCGTTACTTGTCCGATTTCAGAGTGGATATTTATTAAAACTGACTCGAACTACACTTTAGTAAAGAAGCTGTAAAGAATGTCATATACTTAATAGAGAATGTTGGTTTTATAACTCTATGAACATAGACTGGGATTTTAACGTTATATCTATATATATATACATATATAAAAGAAAGTCGTGTTAGTTACACTATTTATAACTCAAGAACGGCTGAACCGATTTGGCTGAAAATTGAGGGGGAGGTAGCTTGGAGCCGCTTAAAAATGGTATAACAAAACGCAACTGACAGCTTAACGTCATGCTAACTATGGTTAAATATGATTGAAAATTTGACAATCAGAAGTTTTGAAGTTGACCGATTGATGTGTTTGTTTCGAGTTTCTATTAGCTTAATGTTGCGATATAATCAACAATGCCGCGACCAAGACGATCGAATCTTTCCCAAAAAAGCCGTGATGCAACCAGTATTCGAAACATTTCGAATGAAAGGACTGAAGAACAAGAAAATGCACGTGAAGAGCGCGCGTTGGTATAGCTCGACTTCGTGCTTCCATGCAATGCGAAATCGTCGAGCAAACCTCAAAGATCAACAATTTCTTCGTGTGCGTAGAGAAAAAAACGCAAAGAAATTTATCAAATACTGATTGATTTGAATGGAGCAGCGTTTCGATACGATTGCAGCACTGTACCCTTCGCACGAACCTTTATCGAAGTCGAATAGTTTGCGAGTCCGAAATGTCATATGAATTCGATATTGTTTCCTGCTAAGGGTACTGATTACTGCATGCAAACTAGCGTTCGCATTGGACCAATGGACGTTGTTTGCGAATATTGTGGCGTATTGAAGTTTTCCGGAAAAAACGCCAAGATTGTGCTGCCTTAGTATAAAAGTGAAATTGTCATTATTAGCTCCGAAAGTCATTGTATTCGTTACTTCGTGGCGAAACACTCGAATCACGACATTTCTAACAAACACTCAAAAATAAAATGGTTGTTTCCAAATGACCTCATTTGGGGCAGACATTATCGAAGAAGAAGGATTTAATCCGACATTCAAGGTACTTATTTAATTGTTTTTATACTTCAAAAAATACAGTAGAAGAATAACATACTATACTTATTCCTATGTATTATTTATGCTGATTCTAAAAAAAAGGTGTTTATCAAATCAGAAATCAATATATCTTTATTCAAATTGGATGTATAGTACAACTCTTTTGAATCGGCCAATTTTTTTTCCTACCACTCGTTATGGACATATTATTTAGCTGCGGAGAAAAACAAACGAAAAAAACTCCACAACATTAAAAGTCTAATGTAACAACATTTACAAATCATTATGTTGTTACAACGTCAATACAATTATGAATTATTTAATATAGAAAACCTGTTGGAATGATTGGAACAGTTAAAACCCAAGCATTTTTGTCTGTAATATAATCAAACACTTTGTAATAAGCTTTTTTGATAAGTGTTGTTATTATACAATCTTTGAATTTATTTATGGTTAAACTTGGATATTGCTTGGGACTTTATTGTATAAGCGAACACAAAGACCTTTAAATTAATTATTAATTTTGTGAAGCTTAGTAGCAGCTAAAGTTAGTTTATTTTATTTTTGTTTCTTGTATTAAGTGTGTGAACATCCCTGTTTTTAAGAACCAAATTAAATTAAAAATAAAAACAGATTAATCAGTAATACCGACTTTGCTTTTGATTCTGTAGATACAAGGAAAGATTCACCAAGAATTGACTCATTGCAACCTCTCGGCACGACTAATCGACGTCAAGAAATCAATGCAAAAGAGCAATTCTTCAAGATCTGCAGTTACTACTTCATGAACATCATGCGTTGGTCAGGCTGTTCAAGAGTGCTTTGGAGCGCATGCCAAATGATAACTACAAAATCGTCATTATAGCGGATAAACGAACATCTGGAACACACGAACGCACATTTAACGCTCAAGCAATAGATGAAGTTGCCATCCTGATTGTTGGTGAAAACTTGGAAACACGTGATATTGTGTTTACAGTTCGCGATACTGGGCAGCTCCAACTAATATCCGAAACACATCGTTCATATGACACGTTGCAATACCCGCTAATGTTTTGGCAAGGAGAAGATGGATATTATTTTAATATCAAAATGAAAAATCATACTACTACTGCTCATTTATTGCTTCTAAGACGGAACAAATTTCGCGGGGTCAGCTAGCGAAAGAAGAAATGAATAATGAAGAAATTATCAAATAGAAAACTTTGGGAACAACGATTTTGGGAAACGTAAAAACGTATTTACTTCCACATTTACGACGTTAAAGTGGCGGAATTGTTTATTGTAAATAATGTAGGTAAGTATTTATCACATTATGCATCTGAATTAACAAACAACAAAAGTTACCTAATTTTGGTAAATTAAAGCTCCGCAGTAACACACGGTCGCAAATTATCGGAGTGGTGGGTGGCCCCTAGTCAAAGGGGAGAAAAGAATAAAGCGAAAGCTGCTTCCAGTCGCCGCTTACAAGTTTTTTTAAGAGAATTGGATAATTAGATTATATGCTGTCGGGGGGTACAAAACCGACCCACGAAGGCAAGTTCCTTTTCACTAAGCAGATAAACATTGAATTTTATTCCTGACGTTAAATCGCTAGCGCAAAGTTTAGAAAACTCCAACCCCGGTATAATGGATTTCGTTTTATATACGACTTGTTGTACATATATTGGCGTACTGAAGGAAGGGAACCTTAAAACCTCTGTCTTGTTGTTCAAATTTAAAAAAAGCTACGCAATTACTTGTTTCAAATAAGAAGTTTGTGATTCAAAATAATAAAGAAAAGCACTGCGCATTCTAAGTTTTTTTATACATGATATCGCTTGTTATTAGCATTAAATAACGCATTGTCAATACAGATCGACAGTACGTTTCAATGGGTTTAAATAAATACAAGTCTCACCTGAGTTTAGACTTCCATAATCGTGAAGACAATTTAGATAATTACACAAAATTATGCGTCCGTTCAGAAGGACCCGCGTCAACGGAATGGCCCGTGGCGTCGTCTAGCTACCAGTACAATTTAATTAAATATGGCTTCAGATTAACTCGGTAAGGCTTCCATCACACAAACTGTGTATTTTGTTTCATATTCCAACCCCTCAATAGAGTCAGTCACACACGCATACTAAGAAACGCTGCGACAACTCACAGAAAACTTCGCGGCTGTAATTCAACTTCATCGATAAGTAACATTGCGCCACTTTGATTCCATTACCTGAAACAAAAACATTATAAAATTAGACGAGCTGCGGGTGATTTGTTAACGCAAAAGTCAATTAGCTTAAACAATGTCAGTAATAATAATAATAGCAGAAGTGACGAATCAAAGTTACTGTGGTGTAAAGTCTTGACTTTCATAATAATGGGTTCGGTTGGAAGGGAGAGCCGCGCGGGGTGGCGGGGTGCGATTGTATCGCATGATAAACACCGGCCGCCCGCCGCGCCATCCACGACTCCCAGCTAATTAAACAACAACGGAGAAAATTAATTTGATTGTTTCGGGATTGCGCCTCTTTGTTTCAGGCCCCCGAACTGGTTACCTCTGAAAAATATTTGACTGACTGACGCCCCTCTCGATTTCAGCACTGAGTATTTTTAACAGCGTCACGGTAGGTTGTACGGTAAATTACCGTGTGGGAACGCGCGCCGACCACGACTGGCGGCAGGACACTGGAAAGGATACTGTTCGTTGTACAAGTTCTGAGTCGATGCGATAGTGGTTAGGTGCAAACCTAAGATATAGATTTAAGTCATACGAATTCTCGTAAAGAATATAATTTCAAGTTTTATTAATAGAATTTTTATGAAATAGTGTATACTTAGTGATGCTAAGAGTCAATTCTTATTTTCCGTATTCAATACACATGGTGCTGATAATAAACGACGTACGAATGACAGCGCGGGTATTAAAAGGTTCAGTGGCGGGCCGGATAAGATGCCGCGCCGGTGCCGGATGCGGTGTCGTCTTACACCACGCCAACACGGCTCAACCTACCTACATATACTAGACCGCACAATTGCCTTGTCATCATTAACGACACGATGAAATTAATTATCACAACGTGTTCACAGATTCTATAGGCACAATAAACACATGTTAACAAGATCAGATAATGTGAACAGACACAACGAGATCATGGCTGTAGGAACTTTATACTATTATCTAATGTCATCAATACAATAGATGAATAATTTATGGACAGCTTTGGACTTTCAGACGTCGGAGTCGGCGACGGCTCGGGTGTCAATTAAGCGAAGTATTTGCGAAACGCCATCGCAATAAATAAGTCGTGAAATTGAATTCAGAAAATTAACCGTGAAGAGATACGAGGCAAAAACTTTAATGCGTGTTTTGAAACAGTTGGTTGGCGAGCGTCGCGGTCGTTGGTGCGAAAACGTGGGTATCTTTATGTACGGTATCTATACATGGACGGCGCAAGCATCCGTGTTCGAATCATTTAGGGGCGAGTGCGGCCCTGGCTGGCTTAGATAGATTGGAGACAAAAAACTTTGCGTTTGCTCACGAATAATTTGTTTCGATTTCATTTCCTTACATCAAGTTCAGGAAGTCGGGTAACGAAGTTTGCGGAACGCAAGCAATTCGAGATACCTTTTACATTTACGGATTCATTAAGAAGGGATTGAAAAGTAAACAAGTACTTATCTATTGTATAACGATTGTTATGTACTTTACAAGGATTAAATTGATCTAACAAAAATTAAGACTAGAAGCTCTACAAACTTACTGACAAGTAAACGGCAGAAAATAAATACAACACGTTATTATTCCTTAAATAGAACTTTCACATTTTTAATTATTTCGTTCAATTCAAAAGTGTCGTAAAACGAAGAACATTTCCGTCCGCATCCTATTTCAATTGCGGTCGAGGGTTAGAGTTTAGGTTGTTCTTTTGGGTAACAATTTAAAATTTTACGAATTCAAAATGAAAAGTTGCGAGTGCTTTCGCGGTACATCAGCGTGAAGGGTTGAAAAGGGATAAGCGATGGGGGGAAAGGGCTCATTATAGGATACGCGGTAGATCTCATCCGGGTGGGACAAAAACGGCCCAGCGTCCTACCGTCCGCAACGGTTCGGCAATTAAACAAGAGGACGACGGCGACCGCCCGCTCATTGGAAAAGCGCTGAACATGTGAACAATAAATACAACGGACATCTAATTACTTTGCGCCCCCGCCTACAAAGTCACTACGCAAACTTACTTGCGGCTTTTACCCGCCACTAACGCCGACTGTATCGAGGGTTTGCAACTATTCGAATTAATTAAAAATTTCAACTGCTCCCAAATTAGCAACTCGAAATAGAACTCGGAACGATTTCCAAATTTTGAATGAGATTTTCTTTTTAAGTCATCATTAGTCAGCAATACAATTAATGAAATACCTAGACGAATATCCCCAACAAGTAGAGACGCTATGCATTTGTCCTTCTAAACTACAAGGCAAGATCTGAAGCTATAACGTATTTTGTTAAACGAATATAACATTCTCAAACTCGTCATTTGGAACTTTTATTTCAGTAAAGATCTTTTAACTAATAGAAGGACCTACGCAAGGAAGCTGAAACGCAGTATCATAACGACACATTACCATAATTTTATTCAAAGCTCAGAACCGGAATAATGTCCATAATATTTTACAGAATTTTATTGCAGCTGATGCGAAATTCAGAGCGGATGGCGCAGCGATATCGAAATTATCGAGTCCTTGCGGTCATTAAGTCATTAAACGTAGAAGAGAGGTGGGGTTAACACAATCGGGATCAAATTAAGTTCATTCAGCTGCGGTGGGCGAGTCGAATCAGCTGGCTCGCCGGGCGTGAGGCAAAGAACAGGGAATGAACAGAATAAATCCCCTACGGAACAATAATTGATTTATAACTGTTTATAGCTGATCAAAACATTATATTTTCTTCAAACCACCTTTTTAACTTAACTTTAACTTTTAGATTATTTTTGAATGTTGGAAATATGTAAACAAAGAAGATTATTTTTGAGGCATAGAAGCACTGAAAGGAAATTAACTACAGAAAAAGATAAAATAGTAAGACATACTCGGAATATTTCGACATAAAGAGAACTCTCCGGTTACCGACACGCCTGCTGCTATCATTTTAATATTTAGTCGGTTGCTCTGTGAAAATGATAAAGTTAAATATGTGGAAGAGGAAAAGACCGATTGCAATCGTACGTGCCGGAGTGGATTCCCCCGAGATCGTGGTGTGAGTGAGAGAGTGCTCATTAACCGGTGCGAGGCGACGATCGAGAGACAAATGAACCCAAAGCATGCCCGATTATTTCGCTCCGTGGAGACTCGCCGACGACGACTACGACGTAGCCTGGCTAGGCTTCGGCCCGGGCGGTTCGCAAAACAAAACTCGCAATTAATTCGGTTTTACAAGTTAAATTACCGCTATGAGAAGAATAAGCTCGCGGAGACATGATTTATACATTGGGAAACAAGATACGTTATTAGCGAGGGACAATTGTGGATTACGGGCACGCGAGCGGACGTCGAGTGGACGCGTCAAATCGAGAGTCCTGGCGGGGTTATGAGCTAAGCGGTACGAAGTTTCATGTCGGGAATGGATGGCCAAATTAATTGAAATATAGCGTCGCGCCGGTGTGCGGTCGTGCGGCGGCGGATTGGGGGATTAAAGTTGCAGCGCGCGGGAGTAGGTGCAGGGGCGGGTGCGGGGGCGGGGCGGGCCGGCTGCACTGCGCTGCGGCGGCCACATCGGGTTGCCGAACACGAAGCCGAACCGTTGAAAAATTGCGCCGAACGTCTTTCAGAGCCGCGCCCGCCCCCGCGTGCCTGAGCTACATACAAATCAGCCGATACTGTCCGCGATGCGCTCTGAATGCCGACGGCGACGTCGGTCTATGGAGTCGTTAAATTTTGCTGAACTAATGCTACCTAGCTGTAAACTAGAAATAATTTACCTTAACATTTTGAAAAGAAATAAAATATTCACTATTAATGGATCTCTCTCTATAAAAATATGTAAGTGTCATTTTGCTAACTGGGACGCTAAACCACAGCTATGAATAACATAAGGTAAAAAAAGGTGGTTACAATTCTTAAATCTACGATCTACAAAAAATCATAAAATACTTATCCACTTTAATATTAGAAATAATATTTTGAAGTGGGAAACTACAGAGAGCGGTACAAAATATTACTGCAGACCTAAGCGCATCTTTTGCAATGACTCGGCGTTTTCGTTAACGTTGCAAAACATCGTACTATCTGTTCGAAATATCAAAATAAGATTGTTTTATTTTGTATCTGCTTCCGTCGAATAGCAGGGAATTTGTTAGATGAGAATCTCCGGTAGATTTACCCTGGACTGATTACGTAACAAATTGAAAAAGGGGTAAGTACACGCGGTCACGTCCTTCCTAACATTTGGAATAATCGTACCTAAATCCGTAAATAAGGATATCAAGTGGACGCTAAACTTTATTAAAGGGTCCAGTGAGACGACCTTCATAAAACAAACTTTATGAGGAACAATAACATTTATTACATAGTTGAGTATTAATGCGCAGTCCATTAACAGCTGCCGCCGTCGCGGCGGGCACCCTGCATCGCCGTCGGCCGCAAACATCTTTTTAGATTTATAACTCACCCCGCGATACACAATACACAACACACCACGTCTTATGAAACGTACATAATCCTAATCTAGTACGCTATTACTCGCGATGGCCATTGTCGTGCACAACGCGCGAAACTCGCAATGTGACGCATTGAACTCGTAAATATTACAAGTCGTTTATTTCAAGTAAATCCGCCGCTGAGATACTGCGATGCCGTGATACGAGTTTGTCTGCTTTATGGCGGAAATAAAGGAAGCAACATTTAATAAAAATAGGAGTCTCCTCGCAATTTTAGACAGAAAC